CGTCTAGTGTGCAGATTTAATAAGCATTTACAACAAAAACAAAGTTTATTATTTAAATTTCTTTTCTATATATCTGAGTTCCGAGGAGGAAATCGTGGAGAGCTAAACCTCAAAATTTGAATTTTTTATATTCAAATTTCAGCGTGAACTACGGTTGTCCCTATCGCACGGTATTTACCAATGCGTGACAGCAATAGTTTTTTCAAATACCTATTTCTCAAATGAGCTAAGGCTGGCGTCCGCTCTTAACGATCGCGATACGATTACAGATATGTCTTTGATATTCATGCTTGGGGTACTGGACTGAGCAATTTTTTTTAATGTGTTTGCTGTTTTTCGTAGATGACCTTTAGCTTAGCTTCACCGGGTTTGGGGACGGCGAGATCCTTTGGGGACCTCAAGCCGAGAATTGGCGAATGCCTCTGGAGGCACCACCCACCCTACGGGGGTAGTCTCCTCTCCATCTGGAGCCTTTAGACCACTCGAACCTGAGGGGGTCGGCTCAACTAGAGGGAGTGTCTGCGGACCTCGGCTCTAGTTAGCCGTTGTCGTGAGGGGCGGGGAAAAACGCCCAGGTACGTACCTGTACCTGGTATAGCGTGTCGTGTGTAGACCGGGTCTTCACAATCTTATCCTACGGGTGCGGTGTCTGCCTAATGCTAATCTAGTATGCTAGCTGTGTAGTGTTGGTGTTTGTGGCCTGTGTGGGAGTACTCGGAGGCGCGTTGGCGCGGGTGATTTCGTCGTCCAGGTACTCTAAGACGTGCTTAGGCGGAATCGGGAGGGAAGGAAGGCAATCGCGTTTGCTATTTTTGGTTTTGCTTTTTTTTTTTCTTTTTGTAAGCGTCTATAGACTATGATGGCTGCTTACTGTCAGGCGGGCCACATGTTTGTTTGCCATCTTTTAACATAAAAAAAATTATACATAATAAAGATTATTAATGAAAACTTGTTATTATCTCCAAAGGAACAGTCATAAGTGAAGATACGACTCCTGTAGGTTATTTATGAACACCAATTAGGAACAACGATACTATCGCGCATAACTTTTTTTAATTGTTCGCTCGGAACATGGGATGGTGTAGAGACGCAATGATATTTTCGTAATGCAATTTTTTATTACAGTTTTGATTTTTATTAAAAAAACAGACTTTTTTGATTTTAAAAGTTTCACTTGCCTCGTGTATTTTTATTATTTCTAAAAATGCACCGCGCGCGCGAGCTTTGAATTCAAGACACCCATATTTCAGGAGTCCCTTATGATAGAAAGTTTTGGTGTTACTTAACTGATTAGATTTAAAATAATTATTATTTAGATACGATATTAAGTTTTCTAAAATATTGACTTATAACATTTAATTTTCGCAGTCGCATCAAGTGGTTAAAACATCAAATGAAAGGTGGACATACTTTTGTGTTTAAATTTACTTATAGTGAGTCTCCTGAAGTCTAGATTTAGACTATATTTGATTTTTCTTATTCTGAATTAAGCTTGGACTTGTACTATCCCATCGGAAACACATAAATCTCTAAACTTAGTACTTAAAATTAAAGTTAAAACATCTTTATTCTAAGTATTATAATACCTATGGATTTTATTATATTTTGATTTTAAGAATTTAATTGCTGGAATTTTAAATTTTCCGAATACAAAAATATGTGGGTTCGAACCCGTCTGAAATCAGGATCCAAGTAGATTTTTTCTAGTAAAATTTCCTTTAAGTACGACCAAAGAGCAGCGATACAAAAGTTCATTCACCTTATACGAGACTATGGGACTGACAGTAAAAAAACCTATGACAAAGACTAAAACTACGCATTATGTACACCCAAACAAGTTATATTACAAAACATTATACGTGGGAAACATTTATATTTTTAAGTTAATAAAATACAGTTTTTTTCCAGTACGCAATGTACAGCGCGGCGCGCTACTGTGGCGCTACGCAAACAATGTACCTGTGTGTATGTGTGTGCGTGTGTGTAAGTGCGTCGATAAAAAAGTTTCTAAATAACGTTTTTGCAAAAATCTTAAAAAAAAACTATGCCTTTCACCTTCAATATCTATGTAACCATAAATTTCCTAGGTATGGTCCAGAAGAAAAAAATGGTCGTCATGATGTGGAAAATACGTGGCCTTGGATTTCGTTAAAGGTTTTTTTACATCCTGTATATAAAACATGAGGTCTCGTTCTGTCATGTCACGTCATTGCCGAGGCGCCGACTTCGCAAACTTTCGGGCGCCCATTTTATAGTAAAAAATAATAACATATTTTCATTTCGTTTCGTGCCTTTCCAATACTACTCATGCTAATAATAAATATTTTTTGTTTTTTGATTTTCTGTGTTGTTAATTTTATACATTTTATTATAAATATACAGGGCGACCCACGGCTACCTCACACGGAGGGAAAGTAAGTATATTACATATTAAAGATAGGATATTTTACTGAAAGAAGACATCATTTCATTTTTGATAATAACTAGAACTGTATTCACAGATTTTTAAAAAATCGACTGCTACAACTGGGAATCAAACTCGTGAAATTTCGAAAAAAAATACGACTTATTTTATGATAACCATCGAAAGGGTTTATCATAAAGATTATTTTTTACTAATTAACATAGCATTTTAAATGAAAAGAATGTCTTATTACGTGATAAAAAGAATAAAGTGATATACAAACTGAAGTACGTATGCATTTCTTTTTGAACTCAGTTACAATGCGATTGGCTGAAATTTGTAAAAATAATAATTCGAAAATAGAACACATACATTTTCAAGCGTCTGTACCCCTAGCACGAACCAATATCGAATTCGAATAGTTTGCGAGTGTGAAATGTCAATGTCAAATTTTGTAAGGAAACTTATACAACAGCACCACAAAGTATGTAACAAGAACTAAAAATCAGTACATATTTGTCAATGACATTTCGCACTCGAAAACTATTCGAATTCGATATTGGTTCGTGCTAAGGGTACTGTTCTATTTTTGTGTTTTTCATTTTAGTTAAAAACCGGGTTCTCTTAATACATTTTTAAAAAGGGAATCTAAATACGGAAAGATATCTAGAAATACTTAATATTTTAAGAGGTGAGATCAATAATCTTCCTGATGCAAATCGACGAAATCTCATTTTCTAAGTTGCTCAGTTTCTTAAAGAAAACTTTCCTTATGGTCAAATAAGATGGCCAACGAGATCCCCAGATCTAACCCTACTGGACTTTTTTGTGGGGTTATGTAACAGATGTAGTATACAGGTAAGACAGTGTACAGGAATTACAAAATAACTCAGACGTATTATTACAAACATTCACCACGCAAAGATAATGAAATCGACAGGCAGAGAAAACATTAATAGAGTGAGAATTTGCATACAACAAATCGGATCACATTTTGAATATGTGATACATTTCGTTTTTTATTACTTTTTGTTGAATATTTTTAATAAAATGTGTAATTTTATGACTTTTCATTCATTTAAAATGCTTTGTTATTTAGCAAAAAATAATTGTTATGATTAACTCCTTCGATGGTTATCATAAAACATCTAGTGTTTTTTTTTTTCGAAATATCACGAGTTTGATTCCCCGTTTTAGCAGGCGATTTAAAAAAAAATCTATGAATACAGTTCTAGTTATAATTAAAAATAAAATGATGTCTTCTTTGGGTAAAATATCCTATCTTCAATATTCAATATACTTTCCCTCCGTGTGAGGCACCCGTTCGACGCCCTGCATAAATAAAATGTGTTTCAAAAAAATAGCCAATCTCTGCATTGGTCAATGATCTTTCATTGACCGTACTTTTGATATAATACCTATGCCCGTTCAAAAAGTGTAATTATGGGAACGGACAGGTCTCACAGGCTCAGATAGCGACTCTACGGATTTTGCGTTCTCAATGATATCCCGATCCCGAATCCCGACGACATACAGGGAGGTGACGACCGTTTCAATTTTTTTTTATTTCATTTACTAGCCATTAATTTTATACGGTTTTTTTATTCGGCCATCAAGCCGGAGACCGGGAATGACTCTATTAATATAATATGGTAATAACGTGGAGACAAGTTTGGGAAACACACGTCTGTTCGGGGAATGTGTGAACAATACGCAGTAATAATTCGAAAAAAGATGTAACATTTAAATAACAAGAAGGAAGCGTGAAAACAAGCTCATAGAGTTATGTATTTATGGCATTACTCTGGAAACTAATTTTAATAGATTTTTGGAAATGTATTAACTTGTTTTCAGTTGTCAATAATAGAGTAACTAATTTGTTTTACACGTAGGCAACTTTTTAGCTGGCCCATTTTTTTATATTTCTTTGAATTTCAGCGTATAGTCTAAATGTTGATTTGGTCCTTCTAGTATCTCGATTATATAGCAATGTCTATAATAGTAATGATTTTAGGAATCAACGGAAATAACGCAGCAGTCCTTTTTCTTGTAAAATGGGGTAACATAGCTTTTTTTTTTTTTTATAAAAAAGAAGAAACAGCCTCGCATAAGAACAAAAAAAATCTTTTCGGTCATTTATGCATTCGATATTTTTAAATTAATTTATACTTAAAATAGGAACAGCAACGTTCGCTAATTATGTGCCAGTTATTTCATATTTTTTCATGAGACTTGGACTAGTCTGAATATAGCTGATGATGTAAACGTAGGTAAGTATTTTGCTTCATTCGTAATACTTTTAACTTATTAATTAGTCTGTCTCATACTCTCCTACATAATGTAAAGAAATAAACATACTTATTAAGTTCATAAAGTGTAAGTCCTTAAATATAGCTCGCCTTTTTAATCATTAAAATTATTACAATGTAAAACTAAATTAAAAAAAAAAACACCGACACACACACGACACACTGCATGCGACAAAACAATACGAGTAAAAAAAACAAAACCATTCCGATTTCAAAAAGTTCAACACGAAAGCAACAACATCGACGATCGAAATTCAAAACTTCATGCAATCTATACAGCCACCAACCTTTCGTCGCATCGGCAGTGCATCAGCGTGTTAATGCGCCAATTGTACACTCCATACTTTTTCTCCATTCCCCCGATCCAGAAGGGGCATCGAAGGTCATGTGTTCTGCAGCACCTGTCAGTTCTCGTGTAGCCGCCGAGCTGCGAATATCTTGTGGCGGAGTAACCTTTGCCACACCACTTGGTCCCTGGCACGCGAAGGACTTCCATCGCGTCCCTTTTCGGTCTGTTAGTCGAATCGGGTTTTTTAAATTTCAACTTTTTTTTCTTAAATTGCTGGCGCGATCCGTCGCAACGGCCTCTTTCGTTTTTTTTTTTTGTATTTGATGCTACGATCTTTTCGGTTTCTTTATTTGAATTAAATGTGTTACTTAAGCACGATTGATCTCGTGGAAAATATCCAATTGAAACTCATTTTTATAAATATGAGTAATATTGTATTTATCCCTATAAATATTTTCTTTAAGTACCTACTCTATTTATACGTAATCTGTGTTAAATTCTTACTGCTACCGCATACTCAACAAAAAATAATCCTATCAGTGGAACTAAGATAAAAAAATACAGCTTTGATCACCAGACGGTCACCCATCCATTTCCTATCCCGACCATACGTCCCTTCACACCGATAAGCACCAATTAATAAACACAATCCTCCGTAACATACACACGTCTCACGTCGTAAAGTAATAAAGCACCCAATGATCTATAGATCATTCGCAGCCGCTCTGGCAATGATCTATCGATTTTTATGGCGCACTTTGGTGCCGTGATGGATTTATACGACTCGGCCGAAGCGAGACGTCATGTTTACTTTTATTATTTTCGTCGTAATAATGATAATAATAATAAAATTAATAATATACTCATAACTTTGGTGGTCTGATATCATATTGAAGAAATAGGAAAAATATTCTGCTGTTGTGTATATACATATATGTATTTTTGTATTGAAGAGTTAAACTTACATCTTATCTGATTTTAATGTATGTTAAAGTTAAAGTTATACTACATACGCTTTAAATCTTGAACATTATACATAGTAAACGAAGCATGCGCAGTAACAATTTAACACACAAAAAAGACTACTGCGCAAGTTTATTTGTCTATGATGGTTATACTCAAAGATGTTTGCCGCTAACTTAGAGCTTCCAACATAGGTTGCAAAGGTACTTACGTCCGTACTTATCACCTACATCTTAGTATAAGTGTCAATATTCATGAGCAGTACTCTGTCGATAGTAGAGACAGCTGCAGGAGAAGATAGGTAGTTTAAGTAGCGACAAACAACTTGAGGAAAACCATAGACAAACCAACAGACGCAGTAGACGTTTTGACGTGATAACGTCTTATAAGAAATCGAGGAACACCGGTTCCACGCAGTGTGATGTCATTTCACGAGTCACGTTATGTGACGTGTTAGTTTAACGTTCCGTGGTGTGTGTGAGGTGACCTGACCCCTCCCCCTTCCCTCGAAGAGCACCTCACCCCCGAGGAGCGTAACTCGAGCCCCATTAAAGCTACAGAGGCGTGCTTAAACGAATCAAAACAAACAACACCACACAACTGCCCCGAGGAAAATAGTAAAATTATTACCGCATAGGCTTCATTGACTACGGTTTATGTTCAAGATGTCTGCCGGTGTGTTTACCTCTCTCTGTGATCTGTGGTTTACCGTCAACTGCAGCTGCAGCCGCCATATTGAAATCTTTTGCATCTCAAGCTTTAGATATAATTTAAGTCTGTTCTAAAACCTGACACTGAAGTGGATGTTACTTCCCCATACCCCAAATGATTAACGAAGATCCGCTGTGATCCCTTTCTTAAATAAATGAACAGACATGTGTACTCGTTTTCCTATTTATTTTATTTCCATTGATTAGCTGATCTTAAAAAACAAATTGCTACAATATGGACATCATATAAAGGGCTCTAATTTGAGCGAGAAAATAGCTCCGCCTTAACTATCTTAAAAGTTATTTTATCGGTAGTTATTTTTTAATGATCTCGCAACAGCTAACTTTATGATGGGTAGGTAGATCAGTCGTAGCAATTATGTTCCTTTTTATTATAAGGATCCTCTTCTCAAGAATGTTGTTTCCTTTTTAAGCCGAATATATGTGACATTTAACTAACCTGCCATTAAAAAAATGCTTCAATTCGCCACTCCCAGTAAATTGTAAAAGAACTTATGTACAAAAAACCTTTTTACAAATGTGAAAAAACAAAAACAAAGTCCCATCACCAGAGTAAAAAAAAAAACAAAACAAAAGCACCCGAAAATCCGTGATTATTTACAATGTCAACCTCAAAACTTTGGGTTGCTACTAGCTAAAATGATAAATTTACATTTGCTTCGAACTGCGTCGTGCCAAAGTGCTTGATAAAGCGTCTAAAAGCTTACACTGCGACTGCCCTGACCAAAAGTCTCTGTATTCCTTAGTATTTTTTTCTGTTCTGTCCATTTAGTCAGAACTAAAATAACTCGGAACGAGATGGCTTCATCTCTATGGTGAAAAAAAAAACTGCACTCTATCCCGCAACCCTCCTAACCGCGTATTCCAAATTCAAATTTTAAAAAAATATATAAACCAACCTCCTATCGCACCGGCAATGTGATATCGTAAACGGCCTATAGTTGAACAGTCCATATCTTCTCTTGAACGCGCCAATGTTCTTTCTACAATTATCGTGGGCTCTACAGCATCGGTCCTCTTTCTTATCTGTGCCCAGTTCGTTGTAAGACTCGGCCAGTTGTCCAGCGCCGCACCACTTCGTCCCGGGTACTATAAAATTGGCGCGAATAGACCTGCGTGACCTGTTTGCACGTTTGGTTAGTCCAGTAAAATTAAAAAGTTCCGTTAGCTCTGTTAGAAAGAGATTTTTAGTGAATAGTTTTTAGATAAGTGCTTTAGTCAAATGAGAAGAAGAGAATTAAAAAAAAGAGGAAAATTAAAAAAAAGGAAAATGATAGGAAGGCAAGAAAGAAAGTTATGATGAATAATGACAAGAGAAAAAAAATATTAATAAAAATAGACGTACTAGGTACTTTAATACAGTAATTACTTATTAGTTAGTGTTTTACTTAGCGAGTCAGAATAATTATTACACGTAAGTTACGCATTGCATTTCAATATTGTCATTTTGAAGAAGTCATTTTTAAGCAATAATTTTATTGATTTACGCTTAAAGAAGAAACGTCTCATAACTACATAATATTTCTGCATGATATTTTTTTCTGCCACGATTCATTTAATAGAATTAATCAAATAAACGTAATTTTTCTTTATTCACACAATCAAAACATTACAGAGATTTATAATGATTTCAAATGTAGCATAATGTCAGGTCTTGGTATAATTTTTACTTAGAAGTGACGTCACGAACCCCCACTTCCAATGTTTGAAGCACTTCTTTGTCTGTTTTTAAGTTGATTGCCAAAAGAAAAAAAAGTTTCCAATCTTTTTAAAAATAAAATCGGCACAAATGAAATGACTAGAGACTAGAATTTCTGTTTCAGATAAATGGGCAAGATCAAAAGCTGAAAATTTTCACAAAAACTAGAATTAAATACATTTCATCCTACAATACGGATGAAATGTATAATGTAATAGTAAATATGTTATCAACGTTAAGTTAAATTCCATATACACTAATTACATATCCTGATAAAGGATTTGATCTTTCAAAAAAATAATATCAAAAAATTAGAATTATAGGTACACATTATCCCTGAGTAACCGAGCCCATATTTTATAGTGCTAAATAAGATGAATCCGTGCAAATCCAGGGCGGCTCGCTAGTATTTAATAAGTTTATAAATGCGAACAGCTCTCCGTTTTTATTCTTTAAAACCTAAACTGTCGAACCGATTTTGATGAATTTTTATGTGGAGATAGAAATTTAAGTTCTTTCACAATCGTTGAAATTTGTTTTTTTTTATGGTTTGGTGGATGTTGACAATGGTAACGGTTAGAAATCCAGAAAATATTTAAAATTGTGAGTTTTTTTTGTATATTATTCATAACGATGTTATGAAGGATAGTAATAAAGTGGTTTATAATACATACGTATTTCAGTGCTTATGATTAAGATATGGCGATGATTTCAAGGTTTAAAGGCAATATATGTTACACACTACCTAAGTATACTTATATATTAATGAGAATATGAGATATACTGGTAACTACAGCAAATATTAAATACCATGTCATTAAAACTCATTGGTTGTATTAGTTTTCCTGGGTGTTCATTGTAAGTTTTGAAAACAAGAACTTTAGGGCGCTTTCAATTTATGCGTTTCTTGGCGGACTGCTGCGGTGCCGAAGCGGTGCGTTTGTCGTACAGCGTACGGACGATCCTTTTTGTTTCATAGAAAACGCGCATAAATTGAAAGAGCCTTTATGATGTTTTAATTTTAGAACACCTTTAGAACACTTTCGACTATTGTTGCAGTGAAATTGCGAAATCAGTTATGCAGGAAGCTAACGAAAATTAAACTGCTATTTAGGTACTCGATTAATTTATTGTCTCATTTTTTAATAATGAAATACTAAAAATGTAACAGAATGAATGTTAAGTTTTCGCTACGATAAGTCTATAGCAGTACCCCTGGCACGAACCATAATCGAATTGGTAACGTTTGCGAGTCCAAAATGTCATTGTCAAATATGTACTGATTTTTAGTTCTCGTTACGGACTTTGTAGTGCTGCTGTTCAAGTTTCCATACAAAATTTGACAGTGACATTTCGCACTTGCAAACGATACGAATTCGATATTGGTTCGTGCTAAGGGTGCTGTTCTATTAGACGGTTTGCAAAATGTTAGAATACTGAACAGAAAAAATAGCCTAGCACACACATAAAGGTCCATTCAAGCTTAAAATATCTACCCCCGGCAAACTTCTTGAGCAACGTTCAACCTTTTACATACAAAAATGTCTACTGCTCAAATTTATTTGTCTGTGATTTTGCTCAAGAACTTTGCCGCTTCCTATAGCTGTGAAGTTATCACAAGTGAAATTTTGATATCGAGAGTTTTCACTGGCTGAAACCTGCGCTGCGCATAATTGCGCCTGATTCTAACTTCATAGTCATCATAAAGTTTGATTCCCACTGTGTGTTACAAATTAACGACATGGTATTTAATTTTCAATGGTGGTGTTGGTGGCATAGCAATACGTGGCGAACTGGTGATCAAAGAGAAAGAATACGAAAGAGGCCGTTATTGTGGATCGGGTATTTGACGAATAAGTAAAGATATAGTGCGACAAGGATCTCTACGAAGGTGGCGAAAATTGGAACTAACGCCGCCGCAACTTCATATATTTACGGTCATTTGCGTAGACAGTGGCGCCCTCCCTGTACTGTAACTCACATTCATAAAAATCCTTGTCGTACTGTAGTGAAGTTTTACAGCTGTTGCACAAAGAATGCTATAGGTGCAATCGGAATATATTAAAAAAAGTTTGACATCTTGATTTTAGTCTATGGTTGAATTTAGAAAAAAGCACATTGCATGACAATTTCAATCGGTGAAAATCCAAAGCATCACAGATTGCTTTTAGTTAAAATTTCGTGAGATGACAATGTAATCCAATTATCTGTACGATGCAACAATTATTTTTGTGGAAAAATTAGCAAAAGCTTTATTCACTCTCAGTCGTGCTCATATGAGATGACACAAAAGAATAAGTATTAAAAAACTAACTTTATGATTTAATTTATTTTTTAAGCATTTAACTGTTAGATGTTTAAATCTAAAGAATAGTTAACATAAAAACTAACTTTAGTTTTGTTTGTTAGTATTATTATCTACATCATATTATTTAGGACGATCAATGGAAAAAAATGGTAAAATCTTTTTCTTCTTACCATAGATTTTCCACGCAACATTGATTTTCGTAGATAATTTAATTCATTTTTCATCCATCCATCCATCTATGAAAATTCTAACTTGAAATTCCTGTCAATATCCTAAGCCCTAAGTTAGTTTATCAATACTTTCTAAGCAGGTTATGTCGGTTTATTAGAGCTTTAGAATAATAGATGTCATTTAGTGTATACAAACTTTAACAGCATGTGCGTAGTTTCATGCGTAGAATGCTTCTCCCACACCTACGTGACGATGGTTTACCCAAAAGGTTTGGGTGGCTTTGTTACTAAATGCGCTAAAGGCACATTTTTGCCATACACATCTAATAAAAAATTGGAGTCTGCCGGAGTCTCACTACCACCGTTTATACAAATTTGAAGAGTGCTCATATGTATGTGCAGCTGAAAGAGCGTCCTTACGATGGAATAGTACCAAAGCCACTCAAAGCTTCGTCGCGCAGACGTGGGAGAAGCATAAGGATAGGATCCAAAGCTGAATAGACTAAAATCAAGATCGTCATTAGTTGTAAGAATCATTATAAGAAATTACCTAGCCAGAGAATTCTCCCCGACTTTATTTCTATTTTCCATCATATAAGTCAGTTCCTGATGCCTATGTATGCATTTCATTTTTAATCTGTCATAATGGAACCAACTGGCGACATCTTGCGGCAATCCCTCCCCTTTCTTGAGCAAGCGAACTGTCATGTTGCGAAAATGGCGAAAAAATTTTTCGCTCTCTACAATAGTTTTCTTTTGTGATAATCTATACCCCTCTTCGTCTAATGCCTGTTTCAGTTCTTTCCTCAGGCTCTTAAGGAAGTTTCTGGCATTTTTCCTTTGCGTTATGAACTCGCAATCTTGTATCTCGCCATTTGGAGCGTAAATCATCTGGACAAGATGGCGGCCGTCGGTCAGCTGACGAAGTTTCAGGCCGTTTCTGAAACAAAATTAATGAAAATTATTTATGAACCGTTCTTTGGAGATTGTCTTGATGCAATAAATGAAATTTTAGAGTTTTGAAAAAAGAGAAAGTTGTGGAAGTAACACTAAATCTGTCTTTGAATATCAAACAATTGAATTTCTCGACCTTCGTGGTCGGTGGTGGCAGATGTTTGTGATTATTTGTTTTTTTTTCCTAAATGGCTTCGCACGTCTTGTGCATTTAGCCAATGTCAAATGTTAAAAATATTTACAAATTCTATAGCACTCGTGGTCAAAGTAATAAATCAAGTCAAAGTAAGTGGCAGTTATGTCGATCCCCCTTTCCCTATGTTTCAGAAAATGTGTGGGGATTTACTGGAACCTCCCCGTGGACTTCTTAAGGGAACGTCGAAAGACACTTTCCGCTATTTTGTTTCACTTGCCAACACTTGTGCATGTTCCCGAACACTTAGTGGTTAATAATCTACCATTATTAGACACTAACATCCGCCACAACACATTTTTTAACAAGAAAAACAAAACTGTTAAAGTGACGCTTCCCGATCCTGCCAAAAAGTCCCTTTGTGTGATTAATACGAGCATTTGTACAATATTTATTTTAATTGCTAGTGTGTATTGCATGTCGTAAACGCCTATAATTAAAGTTCCACTAATAAAGTGTCTTACTTTGAATGTGTAAATAAGAAATGTATAAGTGAAACTTTGTTGGTAATCAAAGAAATAAAATAAAATTAATAAATAGATGTCGTTATCAATAAAAATTGAGATTTCGATCTCAAAAAAGGTCAATGATCCACAGCCCTAACCAAAAAGAAGGATGAAATGTTGTAATAAAGACTCATTTCTTTTATTATTGCATCCAGACCTCAACACTTTCTTATCCAATAAAACAAAACTTTTTGAACGAAAACCACGCCTTTGCTGTGTCGGAAGCGATATTCGTTTGCTGGGTGTAATTAAAACGTCACAGTGATAATAAAGATATCGATAAAAAATATGAAGGCATCGATTGGGTCAGAATACTTTTGTACAGACAGCCCCATAAAGTTACCAAAAACTATTTGTTTCTTAAGTTTTCACGCACACCACTACTTAAATAAAAACAAGTTTCAACGGTATAGATGCACTGTTTGTGAATTCTATATCAAGAAATATAAGGTTCAAATTAATTTAAACGAATTTTCAGTTTCGGGTAACTGGACTTGTGACTATCTGGACTAACGCATTCTATTTATTAGTTAACGAACATTGTACAATCTATAAAATAAAAGATAATTTGAGAGATCTCTCTATCATTAGACATTTTTACCCCGGTGGAACATTTATGTTTGTGATTGACACATCAACTTATTTCCGAGTTACGAATACGAGAAAGTCAAAATATTTAAAAAAAAATAACCTTTTCTACAGCTTGGTCATTACCATGCATTACTAAACGAGACGCTTTAATTTCAGTTGTGTTGGTAGGTAAGAAGCCAAATGAGGTCCATACAAGTTGGTGCTTCCCTTTACTCAGATGACAAGGCAAGATAAAATATGATATCTATACGTTGACATTGGCCTTATTCCCACCTCCCAAGACAACGGCTAACTAGAGCCGAGGTCCGAGTCTCAGAGACGCCCTCTAGTTGAACCGACCCCCTCAGGTCCGAGTGGTCTAGAGGTTCCAGACGGCGAGGAGACTTCCCCCGTGGGGAGATGCCATCCGCCTGGAATACCTCTAGAGGCACTCGTCAATTCTTGGCTTGGGGTCCCCTAAGGATCTTACCGTCCCTAAACCCGGTGACGCTGTAAAGGTCATCTGCGACCAACAGCATACACACTCAAAAAAAACTTAATAATAGTGTGATGTCGTCAATTGATGCAAACCAAACATGCTTTTCTTACATTGAGAAATAACTTTATCTATTTGCACACTAAAAGTAATAATAAAATTTACTTCAAATTCCCTAAGGTCAAAAGTCATCGAATTAATCCGGCTAATTAAAATGGTACCGAGTTACTTTTAAGCAATTTAACATGCATTGACATCCCCCGAGCGGCAGCCATTCATTGATGTTGCAGGCTATTATATAGCCTGCAACATATAGAGAAATACCGAAAGGCCGTTATTAAAGTAAATTAATTAGAGATTTTATTGCATGTAGTATGCATTAAGAATTTATGATAAAACGTGTAAGTATTATGATAAAGTATTTTAATCAAATAAAATCTGTATCAAGGACAACAGCTTTTGTATTATAAAATAAATATTGCGATTTATTAAGATACATTATTAATAATAAAATATTGTTATTTGTATTAATATTTTTTTTAATTTTAAGTCATTGAATAGAAATGATGATTTCACAATACTTAAATAATTATTTTGCTATTATAATTAGTTTATAGAATCTTTTAATTTAAAGTCATTTTCGAGAACTATCGTATGTAAGGTTCATTCATTCAATACCGAAATTTTAATAAAATCATACATATTAATATGAAAATATTATAGTTAAATATTTTAATACAACAATTTTAATTTTCTCTTAAATTTATTTTTTATATCTTCAGTATGCGGCATGGTATACGGTTTTACATTTGAGATTTCCATTAGTATGCATTTTTTTAAACAAAGAAACGTTATCATTTTCACAGCTCTCACTGCAGCTATAGTATAATATTTACTTTTTCTATTAGAAACAGACAATGTACGAATAGACCAAGCTCGTAGTCTATCTGTCACATGAATCGAGAGTCGAGACTACAAGCACCTACAAAGTACCGACAGACATATCGGTTACAAATGCACCCCCGGCTGCGTTTGATTTACTTAATCTAGGACCGGTCATGCGAAAGTAAGACAGCAGAGTTTTTATATCAAATTCAACAGTAATTCGATACTTTTGCGTCGGAAAAATATCACCTTTCGTTTCCTTTTTCAGAACGGCCACATGTCAAAAACTTAAACGTGAATCATAATTTTGGACACCCATCCATGTTTACAAAATTATACAATACTTAGAAAATTATACAAAATGCATTTAAAATTTCATAAAAATCGGTCAAGCCCTATCAGAGGAGTATGGTAACTAACATTGTGACAAAAGAATTTTATACATAAGAAGATTATTTAGTTAGGTACTGGTGTCGATTCTAGCATGATTCTCTAAACCTAAACTTAAATTTGACAGCATTATATCCTTGTCATTCTCTATACAGAATGAAAAGAAGAGACTGATGTTAAATTTAGTTTTAAGTTTAGGGAATCACGCTAGAATTGGCACCACTGTAAAATATTCCACTCAGGTAGTCATTATGTACGGTTGGTAGATGAATATTCTCTAGTAAATTACATTAAAAATTTTCTTGATTTGCTGATTTATCTGTTATTAAATTAAAATTAATGTGATAATGATAAGTGATCACTAACAAATGTCTAATTTTGAAAAGCTCTCAATCATTGAGTGGTTTTAAAGCAATCGTTAGGGATAATGCACGGTGCTGCATATGAATGCAGAAACAAAGGAAAAAAGAACATGAAAAATCTCTTTTTAAAGCAAATGAGCAAGTTTTAGTAGCGTTTACTTTGACGTTTCATAAAGTTTGCTGTCAAACACTGAAATAGGTAAAATGTAAAAGAAAAACAAAGAGCAATATGAAAGGGAGAAGTCTTTTTTTTTAGTGTGTATGCTGTTGGTCGCAAATGACCTTTACAGCGTCACCGAGTTTGGGGACGGCGAGAATCTAAGGGGACCTCAAGCCGAGAATTAGCGAGTGCCTCGAGAGGTATTCCAGGCGCATGGCAGCTCCCCACAGGGGAGTCTCCTCTCCGTCTGGAACCTCGAGACCATTCAAACCTGAGGGGGTTGGCTCAACTAGAGGGCGTCTCTGAGACTCAGACCTCCACTCGTGCTGTTGTGGTGGGGGGCGGGGAATAGGAGAAGTCAAAGCGACATAATACTATTTAAATCATTTTGCGTTTTTTGACTGGGGGAGAGCGGATATACACTTTAAAGTACTTGCGTAAAAACAAAACTGTAATTAAGACACACATAAACAATGACGCAAGACACCGCCAAATCCTGCAAACATGTATCGTTTGTACGTCCAATGCGACAGAGAGGAAAGCTATATATACCTACTCCTCTCTGGCCGAACGCGGCGGCTGTGTTGCTGTATGCAAAAAAAGAATAATACAAAAAGAAGTATGAATTATCTGTACTTATTTCGAAACACGCGACTACTAGACATGCAATTTTGTTTTAGCAAAATACTCGCATACAATATTTTTTCAACTACGCCACCCTGTACATGTAAAAAAAGCGATGCGATTATCTTTTTCTGAATTCATCATTACTGCATAACGTAGTCCGCTCGCCCTTCAGAACGCCCTTGGTACTCCGCTAATAGATATATTTCGTTCCCCAGACACTTGTCAATGGTTTTATTATTGTTATGATAATTCTATTGGCCAGTATCGGATTACTTGTACATTTGACATAACGCAAAGTTTTAGCGGGCAAAACTTTGTCGTTGAGACAATTTTTTATGAAGAATGCAGTGAAAAGATTATATTTGTGTGATGTGAATCTAAAAACAAGATTTTGTTAATGGAATGATACGAACTTCCTTAATTTTTGAAGTGAAAACTTCTTTAGCGGCGTTGTACACTTTTTTTGTATGGGTAAAAAATGTTAAACTCGCGTCAAGTTAAACACGTGGACTGATCGCATCATGACACACAATAAAATTAGAAAGGTTGTTGACTTTCAATATATTGGACGAAACATAATAATTCTCTATCTAGGACTATGCGAAGAAAATGCATTTTTTTTACAATAGATGTCGCTAGGTGCGCTTAAACGTGATTCATGTAAGTTGATTTTTCTGATAGACAAACTTTTTTAATGTAATACAAATTGTCATGTTTGTGTACGACAGCGCAATAAATAAATATTGTATTCTACCACATATATGATAGTTATTTTATACTAATAATTAAAGCAATTC